GAGGATATAAACATTATTCTGCCTGACATTGACAAACAATATAACCATAGATATTTTGTAGTTTAGTGTATTAAGTGAACCCAGAGGATGGGTTACTTTGTGAACAGTATTGAGTATGTTATGTGAATGCATCATTGTGTCAAACTCTATGTTGGTAAAGCTTAAGACAGAGAGGACAAATACTCAGCAATTCTACTTTCTTGGCATCTTTACTTGCTGCTGCTGCTGCAAAAGAAAAATATCAACATTTGACAGGTCTTAAGGAGGAAGGAGTCAGTGAATAAACTTACATTTTGTGTCTCAGCAAACAGTACATATCTGTACCTTCTATAACTGACTCCCTTCCCCAAGCAACACCTTGCTGACTTTGTAATGTAGGGTGAGGATGCCCCCCCCCCCCCGAATTCCCCAGACTCAAGAGCCTGCAATACAATATAAGCACCAATCTCCTCCGCATGTGGCGGAGCACAGAAAGAAATTGACATCCTTGCAAGGATGAAATGTCTGCTTTTCTGAAACTTGAGCTTTCCAGTAATACCTTGGGTTATTCTGTCTTCCTCCTGAAAATATCAAGACAGCCTGTCCTAATCTTGCACATTTGACTGGGCACGTGCCCATGCACATACACACATTGCAGCTATATTTTTCATGGCTTGCAGTAGCACTAAGTATGCAATACAGTTCTCCTTTTTGTTGGGATCCCCCATTCCAGGGCTATGGGTCAGTACTGGTCAGAGACCTGTTAGGAACTGGGTCATGCAAGCAATGGGTAAACAAGCAAAGCTTCATCTGCACATGCACAAGATCTAAGTTACACGTAAGACCACGCCTCCCCACTGGTCTATGGAAAAATGGACTTCCATGAAACCGGTTCTTGGTTCCGCAAAGGTTGTGGACAGGTGGTCTATAGTACAATACACACTGAAATAATGGAATTGGCCTTAGTTGAAAAGAAGGTAACAAGAGTTCTCTCATCTTCCTGTGCTACTGTAGATAAGCTTCTTTCACTGAAGGATGATGCATAGGTAATTTCTGTAAAGGAATAAGTAGAACCTAAGGGATGGTAATACCAAGACCTTTCAGAGCTGGCATTTTGCTTGTCCCTCATCCTACTTAGAACCTCGAGTTCAGGAGAAGAGACGCCATCAGCACCAGACTTTGCTACGAGCTGCTGTGAGCAGCATCCAGGCACCCTCTCTCCCTTGTTCCACCAGAAACACGTCTCATCTCCAGCTGACTTCCAGCCTAGGCTCCTGCTCCCTTCCAACTACTATCAACATACCAGGTTTGTATAACACTGCCCCTCCCCCTTTGCCAAAGAGTGCCTCTACAACAGAAATTAAATGGACTATTGGAATATGCCAGCAGAAGAGATATAAGTGATGTAACTGGTCACATACTGTTGACCTGTTCCTTCTAGATGTCAGTTGCACCTATATTACCTGAGTAATTAAAGTGTAAGTATAGCCACTCAACTCACAGTAGGCCACAGCATGAAGATTCAGGGAGTTTCTTCTTTCCTTGAACTAATCTCTAGCTATCCTTTTTCTTTCTTGCAAGGTTGGTTGGGAAAAAAAGTTTACTGACACTAAACATAATTTAGTGATGAGAGAGATATTTGACATTGAAGTTGTAGAAGTGCAGACCAGTCCATTTATAGGGGCCTATTCATCTTCCCATCCACCCACTCAAGCTGTTCGATCAAAAAAAAAAATTCAGATAGAGAAGCGTGTTATTTTTGAGCAGAGTTTGCTGAATGCTGCTTTCAAACGGTTTTTGTAATTGCAGTTAAACTGGAATCTAACATCACTGTGATTTTAATGGTGGGTAAAAGCAGCATGACTTTAAAAAGTTCACTCTAGGCTCCCAGGACAGTTTTATTTATTCAGCTTACTCTGTATGTCATTTGGAAGAAATACTTGGCTTTCTCAAATAGGCTTTTGCTTATACAACACAACTCAGAATGAGTAATATATGTAAGCTCAAACAATTGAAAGTCTTGGAAGGGAGGCAAAAATATTTTTTAAGCCAAATCTGCATCAGCTTAGTCTTCAGTGGCAGTAATATATAGACAAACCAGCAAATTAGATCAAATCAGTGATGGAGATGTGATAAGCTATATCAGAGACTCAGCAATTTGAGAAAAAGAAACAAGCAAATCATTGATGAGCCTGTTTTTTAAAATACAATATTGAACTTTTGCATTTATTCTGGTTTGACTGAAAATAAGATTTATTCAAATCTGCTTGTATCTTCAATCTTTCTAAGGATTCCATCCAGAAATTGACATTTTTTTTTACTATTCACTAAGGAAGATACATCTTTCCCAATTTTTTGACTCCTTATGTATAGGCATTTATCATCACATTTTAAAAATAGTACTTTATTCGCAGATAAAAGGAATATAATCATCAAAATTAACACCTGAATAGGAAGGATTAAACATCTGAGAAACCCAGTATCCAGCCAAAATTTTTATATATTTTTATTTGTAATATTGGCTGTGTTTGTATGATACTTTCCCATAACTTAAGATAATTTATTCAATTTACTCAATTTTTTTGGGCAACGATTTATATAAACAGAAATTACATAGCATGCCAGATTAAATAACATCTTACTTAGTTTGTGGTTCCATGGTGTTGAAATTAATGTGTCTGAAGTGAGCAGCTGTCCTGATTTCAGCAAGTCTCTATGAAAACTCAATCACAGTCCCTTTGGATCTTGACTGAAATCTCTGCCCCAAACAATACAGTGAACCCAATATTATCCTGAGGGACCTGATATAACAAACCTCCAAGTTTCTGTTAGGGATATCATTCTGTCACTGCTAAATATGATGGATCTCATTGCTCCACAGAAGTATCAGAATCTGATACTTACAACTTGAATTACCTCCCTCATTTACCTTTCTCTCATTGATCATGCAGGACCCAGCTGCACCAGCCTACATAAAACTGCCAAGGCTAGCACTGAGCATGTCCCTGAGAAGCTGAAGCCTCCACCTTGTGGCCTAGCGTTGCTACAGGTAAAGGGCAGTGATTACATTGGTGCAGAGAGCTTGACTCTCATGGGTAAATACCATCTCCCTGGGCTGCTAGTCTGTTTAGGGCTTTCCTTACACTAGAGATCAATCACTGGGCTGTTAGTTGTCTGGCATTACCAAACTTTAATAACACATTGTAGGACCCCACTAGCACAGTGATTTCTTATCATCAATATCCACTGTACCAATACTATGGTAGCAATGGACATACAGGCTTTACATGCAATCCTAATATCCCAATTGGTTTCTCTTTCTCCTTGCAGAGCTTTTCAAGACGGCTGAACAATGAAAAACTATCAGAAACTACTAGGTAATACCAGCTAAAAGGTAACAAATAGTAGTTTTATAGACGGGTGGAAAGATCTGTAGGATTTCCCCTCTTGTGCCTACTAACATGGAAGGACTGGGTTTGGAAGAGATTCATATTAGTCATCTGTAAGCAAGAAAGCTAACACCATTCTAGAAATTGTTCATATTCTTAGTGTTGGTTGTCCAGCATTCTCTTAGGATTCCTAAGGTCCTTTATTACTGGTTGACTATGATGCACAACTTCCATCCAAGTATTTTCCTTGCAGTCTAGATATATTGATGCCTCGGCCGAGCCGGATTCCCATACGCAGGAGACCAGTAGGACAAACCCAGCACTTACTCAGATTTCATAGCTGCAGTGAAGACTCTTCCCTCAAGGTGTGGAAATACACAGCCCCCGAGATACCAGCACAAAATTCCTTGCCAGGTAGGTTCTTGCAGGGCATTCTGTACTGTTACCAAGGCTGCCATTTGCTCTTTTTGGACAGTCCCTCAGATTTTCCATACTAGATAGTGGCAACAGATACAACCTTGTTTCTCTTCCTACAGAATTTCAACTGGAAATGCCAGTAACGAGTCAGAGGGAAGAATCACTTTTTATGTGCCCTCACAAAGTTTTGCTGGACGAGGTATGGGGAGGAGGGAGCTCTGCAAAGCCAGCTGCTGCTGCAACCCTTACCTGCAGCCGCTGCCATCCCCTTGAACCCTTGTCTTGTAGACAGAAGAAGAAGAAGCAACGCCTTTACCGTTGTATAGGCAGTAGCCACCCTCCTTATTGAAACTTTGGGGCAGCATAGCTGCAGTTGACATCATTAGTCCTCTGAGCCAGCTCTCTCTGTTGCAGCATCTCCCTGGGCGACCAGATTCCCCCCAACTCACCTACCGCAAGATCCTGTCTTTCTGCACTGAGGCCTGACTTGCCAGTGGGGGCACAACAGCTGCAGCCAATGTGCTCTAGCTCCTCAAGTGCCACACCCCACAGCATGCCAGCTGACTCCAACTCATCCCTTGGTGTGGAAGAAACCTCTCGAGACCCCTCTTGTTGGCACTTGATGAGTTCCAGATCCAATCACCCCCTTCCCCTCCTCTCCCCTCTTTTAAACCAAAGCTGCTTTTTAGACAGCAGCCAGTAGTTCTGACTTTGAGACTTTGCCAGGAATAAGGGCCTCACATCACATCCTTTTTTGTAGCCAGCTACACAAGACATTGAAGGCTTAAGGGAAGGCTTAATGTTTCCCAGCAATCCTCGTCTGAAAATCCATCTAATTTGTGTTTTTTGTGAAGGAGGTGCCTTTCAAAAAAAGAAGCAAACCAGGCTAACTGCAAGAAGCTGTGTAGGTGCATGTATGACACGTGGAAACCATAACATGACCAGCTCCTCCTGGTCTGACTACAGCCCAGAGCGGTGGCCAAGACCTTTCCTCCAATGTTACTTCCACCACTGTACATAATTGGTTACTGGGTTGGAAACTATTTTTGAAACAAGTTTGTCTTATAACATGTTTCTATTAATAAATTTCGTTTGTCAGTAAAACAAAAGAAAACCTACTGCTTTTTGAAGTGTGTGTGTGTGTTGTGTGTGTAAGAGAGACTGATGGTTGGAATGGGAAGTGATGCAAATGTAACAAGTCTCTGATACAGAAAATGAAGTGTATTCTCTAATCATTTATTATCTCCAGGGTTTCAACAAAGCCAAGTACAGCTATAGCATCTGGGCCTTCATGTGCTGATGGCTCTGCATTCTGTCAAAAGAAAAGGAGGGGTGGGTGTGAGATAATCACGGCCTCTGGATCCATGGGAGGCAAGGGGGGGGGCCGAATTACCTTTGGGGGCGGGGGTGGTCAGGAGGGGGCGCTCCAGTCATTCGCTCACTCCTGCTTCTTCGGGTTGTTGACGGCCACGTAGTGATAAAGGACGACCAGGAGAAACAGCGAGACTCCAAGCATATTGGCAAAGATGGCCAGCTGCACGTCCGTCACCATCCTGCGGGAGAAAAGCAGAGATTAGGCCGCCACTTTGGCCGCGGGAGGGCTTGAAGGGACAACGGGCCCTAGGAGTCTCTCCGCGGGAAGAAAGCGACGTGGCAAGGCCTTGGAGCCAAGTCCTCTCACCTCTCGGTTTGGGCAGCGCCCCCACCGTCCTTCTCGTGTCAGTCTGTTCCGAAGGCTCCAGCCGGCGACGTCAAGGCAGGCCGCTCTCGCCTTCCGCTCTCGGTAGAAAAGCTGCGGGGGGAGGAAGGGGGAACGGAACCGACCGAGTTCCGGAAGTACTGAAGAAGAGGCGCCGCTTTCTTTCGTGCCGTCGCGCACCGCCCTCGGCTCAGGGAGTCGAATCCCTGCGCCGGGAACGCGCGATCGGGCGCCCCCCGGCGGCTTGAAAGGAAAAGCGCGGCCCCCACGGCCATCCTGTAGGTGAGTCCGGCTGGTGTCTGCTCCGCCTCTCCTTGACGCCCCACCCCCTTTCTCGGATCCTTCAAATGCGTCAAATGAAAACGCAACACGCGCTTCTAAATTTACCTTTAAGGGGCGTGTTATTTAGATGAGACACTTACATACTCCGGACAACTTGCAGAAACCAGCCAATTAAAAATAAAAGCAAACTCTTAATTGGCAGTAAGGATAGTAGTATCCTCGTCCAGGCAGAGGCTGGGGATAACCGTGACCCGTTTGTCGAACCCAGAGAAGACTGTATTGTCATTCGGCTTTTCATAACTATATAATACAATACAATACGATACGATACGATACGATACGATACGATACGATACGATACGATACGATAGCAGAGTTGAAAGGGACCTTGGAGTTCTTCTAGTCCAACCCCCTGCCTAGGCAGGAAACCCTATACCGTTTCAGATGTTGGATAGCCATTTGTCTGAATCAGTATAGGGTTTCCTGCCTAGGCAGGGGGTTGGACTAGAAGAACTCCAAGGTCCCTTTCAACTCTGCTATTGTATCGTATCGTATCGTATCGTATTGTATTATATAGTTATGAAAAGCCGAATGACAATACAGTCTTCTCTGGGTTCGACAAACGGGTCACGGTTATC